CAGTAGTGAACACAGAACATGAGTATACAAAAAGTGATCTAGCTTCAGTTAAGATCTTCCTCCAGAATTCCAGTAAACTAGAACAAGGAGCATCCCTGCAAGGTTAACAGCAGAAGCAAGAAATAGAGAATATGCAAATACATATCTAGAAGAAACTGAATTATAAATATAAACCAAAAAATAGGTTAAAATGGCAGAGTATTTATACACAATGTCATCTCCCTAATTAAACACACCACTCTCAATTCACTGGTTTCACTGCTCCTCAGAAGCTACCATAAATAAAGCTAGAGCAAATGAATGGCCAGCTTCATATATGTATAAGCAGAAGGAAGGTTTGCCCTTTTGTGAGCAATAGGTAATGCTCAAGAGGATCGATGTCCCAGCCACGTAGGGTAGGAAAGCTCCATCCAAGTGGAAAACAGAGACCACTACAAATGCCAGCAATCACTGCATTACATCTGGGCACAGTGTGAAGGTTAAAGGGAAAGAGTGCAGCTCAGGTTATCTGAAACAGCCTATAAATGAATGCAGGCAGCTGGCAATAAGGAGTCTAACATGTATACCCGCTGCCTATACCGTGCAGGGAGTTATGCATCCTTTCCTTTCTTTCCTCCAACCTCTGTTGTCCCTCTTCATTTTCACTTTCTTCACAGAACTGGATTCTCTATAGATGACTGAAAGCTAAGGCACCAAATGGGATGAGGTACTACTCACTTTTATCCTCAGTTTGTTTCTCTTTGCTTAGACTCCTGCATTTTTTTTAGTATTTTCCTCTCTGCTCTTCTAGCCTGCATGCTCTTCTAACCTGCATGTTGAATTCAAGACAGCTGAAACGCTGTGGAGTTTCAATCAAAGACAAAAGAAAAAAATGTTTTGACTTCTACTGTTATCTACATGTAAAAATGTATACCTTGACCACTTCAAACTCATTAGGATGGCTAGCATCACAAAACAAAAACAAAAACGATAAACTATCAAGTGTTGGCAAGGATATAAAGAAATCAGAAAGAACTCTTATGTACTGTTGGTGGGAATGTAAAGTGGTACAGCCACTGTAAAAAAAGAAAAATTACATATAGAATTACCATATTATCCAGCAATTCCACCTCTGGCTATATATCCCAAAGAATTGAAAGCAGGGTCTCAAAGAAATATCTGCACTCCTGTGTTCACAACAGCATAATTCACAATAGTTAAAATATGGAAGCACCCCAAGTGTCCAAGGACATGAATGGATAAAGCAAGCGTGATATACACGTACAATGGAATATTATTCAGCCTTTAAAAGGAAGGAAATCCTGCCATATGCAACAACATGAACCTTGATGACATTATGCTGAGCAACATTAAGTCAGCCACAAAAAAGACAAATACTGTATGATTCTACTTACACGAGATACTCAGAGTAGTCAAAATCATAGAAATACAGAGCAGAATGCTGGTTGCCAGAGACTTGGGGGGGGGGGGGAGGGTGGTTATGGAGAGTTATTGTTTAATGGCTATAGAATTCCAGTTTTACAAGATGAAAAGAGTTACAGATATGGATGGTGGCGATGGATGCACAACATTCTAAATGTATTTAATACCGCTGAACTGTACACTTTAAAATGGTTAAGATGATAAATTTCATAACTATTCTGCCACAGTAAAAAAAAAAAAAAGTATGCCTTGCTTAAGAGCAGGAATTAAGATTAACAGGAATAAAGAAATAAAAGGTTGCTTCATTTTTTTTCTTGGCTCCTCCACCAATACTCCATATTGGGTACCACTATGCTATGGTCAAATTGGACTATTTACCATTTCCTGACCCTGCTCTACATTCTCCTAGAATGCCTAGAATGCCCTATATGCTGCCCCTCACTTCAGTCTCTATTCTACACTTTATTCAAGAGCAGCAAAAATGGCATCTCCAAGAAACCTGTAATACACCTTTCTGTCCACAGTTTACTCAGTCCCCTATTTCCAAATACTACAGCATCCTTGCATCATGACTGTTTGTGTACATTCTCTTTTATTGCAGAAGGTCATGCTCAAAGCCTTTTGTTTAAAAATCTTGTTTGCAGGACTCCTGGGTGGTTCAGTTGGTTAAGCGTCCCAGTCTTGATTTCAGCTCAGGTCATGATCTTATGGTTCTTGGGACCAAGCCCCGCATCTGGCTCTGTGCTGACAACACAGAGCCTGTTTGGGATTCTCTCTCCCTCTCTCTCTGCCCCTCCCCAATTTGTGCACTCTCTCTCTCTCAAAATAAATAATCATTTAATAAAATAAATAAATAAATAATAAAAATAAAAATCTTGTTTGGTTTGTTTTCCTAAGAATTAGAGAGATGTTTATACCTCAGTGTTGCTTGAAAAGGTAAATGAATATTGGAACTAGATGTCACCTAGAACTAGATGTCATATAGTTTCAGTCCTAAGTCAAACAATCAAATGCTTTTCCCCTGGTTATCTCAATCAGTTATACCGAGGCTGTGTTGCAAAGCAAAGGCAAATCTTGTACTACTCCCACCACTAAGTGAACCGTGCTAGCTCTTCGGCCCAGAATTACTCAGAAAACTGAAGTATTCCATCGTCAGGCAGAGGACTGAAAGGAGAGAGAGCAATACCTGGATATTATTCAGCAATATATTTACATGAAAACAAGGAAGACAGTTTCTAGGCAGTGTCTTCTCTGGGTATCCTGCAATTTGTATCTCATAATCAAACAAAAGAATCAAAATATTGTCCACCCAGGGCTCGCTTCGGCAGCACATATACAAAATATTGTCCACCCAAAGACCAGCACCCCCAATGTTTGGAGCTCCTAAGACACTGGCTACACACAGGCTGTTCTTACTTCCTGGCCCACAGTCAGTCATCTTCATCCCCCCCACAGGCCTAGCAAACACCTCAAAAACCCAGGTAAGAAGTCAAATTCTCTAGGAAACCTTTTCTGCCCACTCGGAGAATAAGATTTGATACAAATAAAAGGCATTCATTAGTGTTTATGTTATCAACTAAAATTACTCAGAATAGGGGTTCCTGGCTGGCTTAGTCAGTAGAGCATGCAGCTCTTGATCTAAGGCTGTGAGTTCAAGCCCCACATTGGGTGTGGAGATGACTTAAAAATAAAATCTTTAGGGGCGCCTGGGTGGCTCAGTCAATTAAGCATCAGACTTGTGCTCAGATCATGATCTCACAATTCTTGGGTTCAAGCCCCACATCAAGCTCTCTCTGTGCTGGCAGCTCACAGTCTGGAGCTCGCTTTGGATTCTGTGTCCCTCTCTCTCTGCACCTCCCCTGCTGGCGCTCTGTCTCTCAACAATAAATAAATGTTTAAAAAATAATAAAATAAAACATTTTTAAAAATAAAATACGGGAAGCCTAGGTGGCTCAGTCTGTTGGGCATCTGACTTCAGCTCAGGTCATGATCTCACCGCTCCCGAGATGGAGCCTTGAGTCAGGCTCTGTGCTGACAGCTCAGAGCCTGGAGCCTGCTGAGGATTCTGTGTCCCCCTCTCTCTCTGCGCCTCCCCCATTCACACAAATAAATAAATGTTTAAAAAATAAAGTAGGGGCGCCTGGGTGGCTCAGTTGGTTGAGCATCAGACTTTGGCTCAGGTCATGATCTCTTGGTTGGAGAGTTCAAACCCCACATTAGGCTCTGTACTAACAGCTCAGAGCCTGGAGCCTGCTTTGGATTCTGTGTCTCCCACGTTTTCTGCCCCTCCCCCACTCTCATTCTCTCCCCCCTCAAAAATAAAAATAAACATTTAAAAAATTTTAATAAATAAAATAAAATAAACAAAATTACTCAGAAGGTCTAGGATCACACCTGAGATATCACTCCTAATATTTCCATGCGACGATGTGTGTACTTTTTGTGAAATAATTGCTTTGGTTTTTTTTTTTTTTCTGGATTCAAATCCTATACGCAAAAGCAGTTAAAAAAAGAAAAACACAACTGCCTTTTTAAAGCCAAAGCAGTTTTGAAACAAACTAATGCAAAAACAGCTGAAATTTCAACATTGCCTTTAATCAAAGTGCGATTTTAGACCAACTAGACTTAGACTCCCTGAGCCTGTTTCCTATTCTTTAAAATGAGTGTCCACATAGGACAGTTCCTAACACATAGGAAGCCCACAAAAATCTAAAATCATTTTTATTGCCTATCTCTCGAGTATATTTTGGCACTGGATTCATTCCTATGACTAGTTCTCAGTCTAAACCAGTGTTGTTCAATATAGTGGCTATATGTAACCACTGGTCGCTTGAAATCTGGGTAGTACTAATTGATATGTGCTTTCAGTGTAAAATACACACAATATTTCAAAGACTTGGTGAAAAAATAAAATACCATATTAACATTTTGTATATCGATTACACAAAAAGATCATACTATGGATATACTGAGTCAAATGAAATAAAATTGATTTCATCTGTTTCTTTTTACTTTTTTAATGTTGCTTTTAGAAATTTTTAAATTATATATTTAGCTTTCATTATATTTCTATCGGACAGGTTGACTTACACTTTGACTTCAAGCTGGTCAATGTGCTCTCTTAACCATACAGTGAACTAGTTCACAGGGGTTCGCTCCAGCCAATCCACCCCCTATCCCAGCATACAGTGGCTCACTTAAACACTCCCCACTTCCACAACCCGGGAAAGCTGATTTAGCAGTTCTTTAATTTTTAATTTTAATCTGGAGCGCACAGAGCAGCCGAGGCAACTCGAAATTGTTGCCCACACAACTACAGAGGAAAAGTTGAGGGAAAAACCCAGCGTCCTCTTCGGACCACGAACACTGCTGCGAGGCTGGGAGCTTGAGCAGAAAAGGGTCACCCCTAAGAAAGTGAGAAGGGGCGACAGGGCAAGCGCCTCGGATCTGAAGGAACATAACGTAGAGCCCACGGAGTGGAGGTGTCAGAAGGAAAGCCTTTTCAGCTTCTGGGGAACCAATCTGAGGATGGAAGGGAAGGAGCTGGGTTCCGTGGCCGCGGCAGGGAGGATCGATACCTTAAGAATCCCTCTCATCTTAGCCAGAAAGGGGCGGAACTCCTCCAGTGACACGTCTGGATAGAGCTGGCTCCGCAGCAGCTCTTCTGTGATGCCTTGATGCCCGTGGAAAGCTTCCTGGGCCAGGCCGCTCAGCAACCCGCTCAGAGGTTTGGAACCCTCAAGCTCGCCCGCCATGGTCAGCTGCAGCCCCGCCCCCCAGCAGCTGAGCGCAGCCTCGCTACGGCACCCGGGATGGGCCGAAATAGCCTGGGCAAAGGCGCGCGGGACGAATGGGGGCGAAATTCCGCCAGCGGTTGGTATTGGTAGCCAACACATTTGCTCTGCAAAACCCATCGCCTAGGGCTGCCACCGTGGAGCTATCCATAAAGTTCCAGAAGAATCACTTTACTTCCGCTGATTCCCTTCATTACTCCAGGGCCTACTGAAAGGAAAGATCACTGGGTGAAGACCACCTGACATGGGGAACTATTCTATGAATGAAGGTGGTAGTTTAACTTTGGAAAGGCCGCATCTCATCCCAGGCCTTGCCAATCCACTAACTGAATAGGATCTATCACTCAGATGTAATCTCTGCCTGATCATTACCTGTCCACCTTTTGTCCAAGAAAATTTAACTAACGCCTAATAATATAATGTGTTTTCTAGGATTATTTGCCTTTATATATATGCGTGTGTCTTGTGTTTCCAGCTAGATCAGCGGCTCAGCTCCGATGCTCGTTTTTATAACATTCTGTTAACACCTTCTTTACAATCCTGAAATGAAATGCATAGGTTATATAATTTTGTACCCATATAGTTTCAAAAAACCAATATATTATTCACCCATGAGAAGGAATGAGGTACTGATACATGCTACAACATGCATGAATCATAAAAACATGTTAAGTGAGGGGCACCTGGGTGGCTCAGTCAGTTGAGCACCCTGAACTCGATTTCAGCTCAGGTCATGATCCCAGGTTCATTGGATTGAGCCCCGGATATGACGCCACGCCAAGCATGGAGCCTGCTTAAGATTCTCTCCCTCTCCCTCGCTCTTGCTCTCCACCTCTGCCCCTCTCCCCCGCTTGTTCTCTCTGAAAGAAAGAAAGAAAGAAAGAAAGAAAGAAAGAAAGAAAGAAAGAAAGAAGAAAGAAAGAAGAAAGAAAGGAGAAAGAAAGAAAGAAAGAAAGAAAGAAAGAAAGAAAGAAAGAAGAAAGAAAGAAAGAAAGAAAGAAAGAAAGAAAGAAAGAAAGAAAGAAAGAAAGAAAGAAGAAAGAAATGCCTAAGGCAAGGCAACAGCAAAAGAAAAGACTCTGAAGCCCTGGCTCAAATGGAAAATATGAAAACCTAAGACAGCCTTCCCAGAAAACAGGTTTCCTTTTCATTATGACCAAATAGGTTTACATTCTAAGTTCCATTAAGCAACTGGTCACTTCTCCTCTTACACTACTCCTTTTATGGCTCACAGACTTTTGATCTCAGGCAAGAAATAGGTGTTTTTTTAAAGATTTTCCATCTCTAAAAATGTTAAAATAAGAAATGTGGACTGAAATAAAGGGCAAACACGAGGGCCCCAAAGTTTTGCAATAAACTCTTCCTGTTCTCTGTCTCTACTCCACCTTTTCAAATTCTACTTTAATTACCATTCACTCTCCAATCAGCCAGCCACTCAACAGCTATTAGTGGAGAGTTTTGTGCCAGTCGTTCTGCTAGGCTTTAGGGGATACAAAAATGAATGTCTGTATCCTAAAATCTTACATTCGGGTAAGGGAAGATGATATATAAATGAAGGGGAGCAGAATATGCCACCCTAAAATATGCCATTTTGGCATAAGGATTATTTTGAGCTAAAGGCAGTGAGAAGAAACAGATATAAGAAAAGCTTCTGGCCCTATTTGCCTAAAAGCAGGATGTAAATTTTCAAAGGTGTCCCACCTCTGTCTACCAGGAAAGACAAAAGTTAATTGCAGGAGACAACTGTAGGCTTTACTAATGAAGAAGGCATGGAATTAAAACTGGCTAACAAATCTTACTCTTCTTTCCCGTGCTTTTCCTGGACATCTCCCCATAACAGGCCTTCCTTACAACTTTCTTTCTTTTGTCTTTAGTTGAAGATGGTATATAAATTGGAGTTCTAAGCCATCACTTTGAGTTACTCATTTTTCCCTGGGTATCTCACATGTATACATTATGGATACATGTCAATAAACTTGTTTTGTTTTTCTCATTAATCTGTCTTTTGTTTTAGGGGTCCCAGATAAGAACTTACAATAATAAAGGGAAAATTATTTTTTTACCCCTCTACTTAAACAAATGATTAAAATACAATGAACTAAGGGTTGCTACTACTCAGTACCTAGAAGTAACTATCAGATTTGGTAGTAGAAAAAAGAAGATTGATTAACTCAGCTTGTGTAGATCAAGGAATGGCTTAATGGTGAATAGTGTTAAAGGAGCTAATCAAGAGGACATGATACTAGTTGACCCATGAGCTGGACCTGGAATATGAGAGTCTCCTCACCCACTCCCCTGTCCTTGGAATGTACATTCTGCCAGTTCCCACAGGGGGAGCTATTCCAAGGACAGTCTGTAGAGAGTAAGGTGTTGTTCAGACCATCTAGATGGTATATGTGACTGAGCCCAATTAAGGCCTCTATATAAACTTTAAATTATTCATGCAGAGATCTGCTTATCTTGCAGTCATCCAAGACAAGCCTCATAAGTAAGTTCCCTTGCTTATTAAAACTGCCACCTACCAGTTTTGAGTGGTCTGCCTTTTTATTCAGTCTCTCCTGCCCTCCATGTATGGGACCTGGTCTGAGATTTCACCCAGGAAGCTCCAAAGGCTGCAAACCAACAAAAAGCCAGACATGTTGCAGGGGAAACAGCATGTTCCTATGTATGGAGACATGAAACAGAGTGGTGTTTTGAGGTACACTATGAACCCCATAGTGCAACAATAGGGTTCAAGATATTCTACCCCAAAATATGGAACTTTGGCATATTGAATATTTGAAGAAACGTGAGAAACAAAACTTGGAAATAACAGGTACAGGAAGGACTCCCTGATCTCCCCCCTTCTCTTGTGAAGCAGGTCAGAAGACTCTCATGTGAGAGTTGCCCTCTCTATACCCAGAGTATTATTATCTCCAAAGATGGAGGGATGCCAAGGGGACTCTGAACAAACAGGTTTGCTGAGTTTTCCCAGTTTACAACCCTTAGCTCATACCTTTTTGTCGTATCACATTTTTCCCCACAACTTTCCATTCTTCATCAAATCTAGCATAAAAATACTCAGGTTTGGGGCGCCTGGGTGGCTCAGTTGGTTAAGTGTCCGACTTCAGCTCAGGTCACGATCTCGCAGAGCCTGCTCAGAGCCTGGACCCTGCTTCCAATTCTGTGTCTCCCTCTCTCTCTGCCCCTCCCCCGTTCATGCTGTGTCTCTCTGTCTCAAAAATAAGTAAACGTTAAAAAAAAAAAATTAAAAAAAAATACTCAGGTTTAACCACTTCTTCAGGTCTTCATTTCCTTATCAAGTTTCCATGCCACATGAAACATATTAAATAAATGTGTATGCTTTTCTCTTGTTAATCTATCTTTTGTTACAGAACCCCAGCCAAGGAGCTAGAAGGGCAGAAGGAAAAAGATATTTTTCCTCTTCTAGAGTAACAAGAGTAGAATGAGGAACCTATGGTAATAAATCTGGAAAGATAAACAGCCTGTGTCACAGAGATGGAAAGTTTACACATAATGCTGACTTTTATACTTGGTCATTGAGGATAACTGAACAGTTGTAAGCAAAGGAGTAATAGGAAGATTAGATTTGCTGGGTTTTTTTTTTTTTAATGTTTATTTATTTATTTTTGAGAGAGACAGAATTCCAAGCAGGCTCCATGCTGTCAGCACAGAGCCCAACACAGACTCGAACTCACAAACCATGAGATCATGACCTGAGCTGAGGTCAAGAGTCAGACACTCAACCCACTAAGTCACCCAAGCATCCCCAGATTTGCATTTTTAAAAGATTCCTCTATGTGGCAGTGTGGCAAATAAATTGAAGGAGCAAGGAAGGCCAAGGCTACAGTATCATAGTAAGCAAATAGATGTTGATATGGGTCTGATCTAAGGCAGTGACACTTAGGATAGAGAATATAAGAAAGATTCTTGATTCAAAGAAGGTAAAATTTGTAGGCTTTGGATGAGGGAAGAGAGGAAAAAATGAAAGGAATGATTCCCGGTTTCTGATTTAGGTGATTGAGTTGTAGATGATGGTCTGGAGCATACAGGGGCTCAATTTATTCATGTGCTAATCCTCCACATAGCTTGTTTGTCCTTATATCCTTCAATGAGCTTTATGAATCAAGTGGCACCTGGGTGGTTCAGTCAGTTGAGTGTCTGATTCTTGATTTTACTCAGGTCATGATCCCAGGGTCATGGGATCCATACTGTGAATGGAACCTGCTTAAGATTCCCTCTCTCTCTCTCACTGCCCCTATCCCCTACTGGCCTCTCTCTCTCTCTCTCTCTCTCTCTCTCAAATAAATAAATAAATAAATAAATAAATAAATAAATAAATAAGTTAGTTTGGGGGCACCTGGGTGTCTCAGTTGATTGCTCATACAACTCTTGGTTTTGGCTCAGGTCATGATCCCAGGGTGGTGGGATCAGGCTCCACACTGAGCATTGAGCCTTCTTGAGATTCTCTCTCTTTCCTTCTGCCCCTCTCCCCTGCTCATGCTCTCTCTCTCTCAAATAAAAAATAAAAGAAAAAAATTTAAATGAGTTGTGTGAATCAAAATAACTATCATAGCAAGCATTTGGAATGAGATTGCCACAGAATAAAACTCTCATTCTGCATTTTGAAATATTTTAATTCAGGAGTGTCTGGGTGGCTCAGTCAGTTAAGTGTCTGACTCTTGATTTGGGCTCAGGTCATGATCTCACAGTTTGTAAGTCTGGGCCCCACATCAGGCTCTGCACTGACAGCATGGAGCTTGCTCGGGATTCTCATTCTCCCTCTCTCTCTCTCTCTCTTTTTATTTTTTTAATGTTTATTTATTATTTTTGAAGGAGAGGGAGAGCAAGGGAGGGGAGGGGCAGAGAAAGAGGAAGACACAGAATCCAAAGCAGGCTCCAGGCTCCGAGATCTGAGCTCCCAGCACAGAGCCCGACCTCACAAATGGTTCCCATCATGTCCCCATCACCATTTCAACAAATACCAACACATTGCCTATCTTGTTCCAACTCTATTCTCATTTACTTCCCCCTTACTATTTTGAAAAATCCCAGATATAACTCTTTATTGGTAAATATTTCATTATGCTTCTCTAAAAGAGACACTTAAAAAAACCACAGTTATTCCACATAAG